TAAATAGTTTATTCTCGAATTTTGTTACCAAATTGGATATGGATATAGAAACTGAGGTAGTGCATTTGTAATATAGCAATGCATCGATATACTACACTGATGATGTCACCTCGAGTGGTGACGAAACGTTAGCAAAAGTAATTGCCAAGCTCAGAGAAGAGTTCATCTAACAAATTCGAGACTGTATCCTGCTACTTCACGACGAACAGATGTAACAAGTTCGGCTAACTACCGTACCGAGTTTGGATACGGTGCACCGAGAAATGAAACTGAGCGCCTCTGTTACATAGAATTATGTGCCCGTTGCTAGTGATACAAGTGTTGTGACGTTCGAGGTGGTCCAAGTGCCGCGTCGGAACGTATTTCGTCTATCGTACACTTAACTGTGCATTTAGCGAGAACTATAAACATAGCACATTTCCAGGTGCAAAATTAACGAGTAAAACCGTATGATTCCCAATGAACTGGTTGTCTTGGTCGCAAAATGTGCAGATTATTGGAATTGATAGAACGAGTTAGTAAAGAACTGCCGGGTAATCTAGAGTATTCACCTGCATTTCAACCATAGCAGCGTAACACTCACTATTCCGGCTACGATGTTACTAGCTCGTGGGTAGTACAAAGACAAGGAAGGGTATGCTTATTGAAATCATTGTAACGCACAAAGCAATACATACTCGACTCCGCATGTCCTTTTAGGCTTCGGCGGGCAAATGGTGGATGAGCTACCGAGGCTTCTATTACTTTTTCTGAACAGAGGAAGATAATTTTGGAATATAACCAGTCTCAGTACGTACAGTAAAATTGGCGTGGATCCTGATCGGCAGAAATGACGCATGTAACGCACTAATCACGAGTTCCCTTGAGCTAAAGGAAAATCCCCGTGAATGAGAGTAAGGCTGATTCTCCTCAATGAAAACAAAAACAGCGCTGCACAAAAGCAGTGGAACAAGGATTCAGCTGGTCCGCTGGCCTAATGCGCTCAGACTACAATTTATAACCTCCATAAGATTCGAGAAAAACTGGAGCTACTGTAGCTAGACAAAGTACCTGGCTCTAATAACCTCACTTAAGTACTAGTGAAAAAAACGATGGTGACTTGTGGTGACTAGTCCAGTAGGGTTGTTGGACACCATACTGAAAGCTGTGGCCTAACGTATGCAAAACATAGGCACCTGGAGAGATCGGATAAAATAACACGTATCCTTGACCTCTCCCAATCTAATCAATTCATCCCCATCCATTTCGATTTTTACCCAACTAAACAATTGCTGAGGTGTGAGCGGTGAGACGCGTACAACTGTTTCAAAAGTCATGATCTTTCGTTAATAAGGTTACTTAGAGGGACAGTCTAACATGTGTCCACGAAAAAATGGAAGCATTGAAAAGTTGGGCAGTTAATTCCGACTTTTCATTCCGTTTTGTGTTCCAGTGAAAGCAATTTTCCCTAAACGCAGCCGTTGAAGAAGGATAGTTGAGAACATACCAATTTCAATAATTGAAGAGCAAGTGTGACAATGCTGAGTGCCAATAGTCAGCCTCATTTTTGGATGGGTTTAAATCGCTTGTAAACTGCACTGCACTTTGACCCCCTTTCTGATGATACATTGCTTCCCAGTGCTATCGTGTTTCTTCATGTACTCAAACGCATGCTCAAGTATATACTATACCGCATCACACACTTAATGTGTGGTGACGGTTAAATCTTTTTTCGTCTGTCTCATGTTCCACCAATGAATTTAGACCACCTCGATGTAGCATTCGGTGAAATTCACATTTAGGCCTTAGATAATAGGTATAGAAGCTTGCGTTCACCTGATTATAGGTCCTCGTCTCGTAAATGCAATGCACATATTCTAGTAACGCATTTCCTCTTCCACCTTTATGCGAGAGCTTCAAATGAGTGCCGTCCGAACACCAGAGATGTAACGTCCTAGCATCATGCTACGATTACGTTGGAGAAGACCTGCGCTTATCTCAGTTGCTCCTAACAGCTAACTCTCAGTATCCAATATGTCACCCATAATGCTTGCAAATTGTCTGTAAATTATTTTCTCAAGTATTAATGAAATTTTAAGTGAAATCTAATCTGTTCTACTGTTCCACTCTAGAGAGTTGAAAAGATATCCATGGTACAATTACAGTCTAAATCGATCACTCAAGGGAACGACAAAAAGTGGTCGCCTTGGACAGGTTCATGTATAGGGACATAACTCATAGAAAACATTGAGGATGCTTTTGGCTGGTCGCCATAGACAGGTGGTCGCCATAGCGGGTTGGACTGTAGTATCACTATTGTAAGAAACCTTCAGATTAGCAGGTGGTTATTATTATTCTGAAAATCATCTCGTGAGACCTAGCGCAAGTTTGCTACCACTACCTTCAAAAGCTATACGACCGTATGGTCCCCGAATCGGTGAAAGTCAGGCTGAATCCCAACTCGACAGGATTTAGCAACCATCAATTTAGTCCCCGCCGGGGACAAACTGCGGTATTCATCAATTCACCCCGCTTCCCCCTGAGTTCACCACGAAAAGCAGTTTTTGTCAGGAGTGTCTTCATTCCCCAAACTCCACGAACTACTTGGTAGAAACATTGACAACGGTTGCACTCGCTGGTGTCCACTACAGTTGACGCTTTGCTGGGTGACGGGGTGACAGACTTGTAATGCGCGAACAAAGTAGAGCTTCCAGAAATACAAGCTGGGCCGATACACAGTGTTGAAAGCCTCGGTAGGCACTTAGCACACTCAAGGTACAAGGTGCGGGACCAATGCAACAGACCTACAGTTTTTAATCTCACTGACCGGTCACGCGAAACAAGCAGTCGATTCACCTGTTCAGATAGCTGTGTCACTTTATATGGAAAAAAGCATTGAAGAGATCACTAAAAAATATTTAAATAGAAGCTTAGAAAATTGCAACCACATATGGGAACCACGAGACATCGGTCACTGTCCAAGAAGTGGAGGGCACAACGCGGAAGTAAGGCAAGTGATGATGACACGACCGGTGGGCGTAGAAGAAATCAGAAGAATGGCCGCCGAAGTATTCGCCGCATGGTGTGTGACACTTGCCAACAGAACAGTTGGCATCGAATCGAGTGGGGTCAGTAGTGCACCAAAACTCCGAACTCATACTGTGGTGCGATAGAACCACAAATAAGTTTACGCAAACAAGGGACGTCCAAACTCAAATAGCGGAGCGCACTCGAACCTAAGGTGTAGGCATCGAGAAGCAAACAATCGTTTCCCTTCACACAAACAGCGAAACAAAATTGGTATCACTCCAGTTCCCTGTAGCGAAGTGCCTCGGAACCGTGCGATTGACAACAACTAGACTCCAGAAGAGATCAGTGACTTCCGGCAATCGTGCAGCCACAGCCCAGATCAGCCCACATGATGTTATGATGTAAAGTGATGCCGTCAAGCGGGTGTGGCAAGTGGTAGATCGCTAGATAGTACCAGAGAGTATCAGAGAAAATTGGTCATATGGATTGGATGTCATGTGGTTTAGAGAGCGATTCTCCTCGGTTGCTTTTGTCAGGTGATTGGTTCATATAGTCATTTGTAGCGCTCTAAGGAAGGCTCAATATCAATGTGTACTAGCCTGTTCTGGCACCCAAAATCGAGGGTCAATCCGCAACTAATCCCATTCGCAAGGGCAGAGCCCGATGACTTTCAGTTGCGATCACAAGGGGTCTCAGGTTTGTAGGTCTAATATGACTGCGTAGGGATCACCGACTTAACGTTTGCGAATAAGAGTGATAGGCGGGCATACCCCCAGATGTGTAGTAATCACATCCAACGTTCCATTTGCGTTAAATACTTGTTTATCAGATAATCCCACGACACTCCCATGCAGACCATGGGGGAACAAGGCGCCCAGTAGGTGATGAAGTCGGCTCCCGTTCACATGTAAATTTAAAGCAAAGGACAACAATGAAGAGGAAACCGTTGTCAATACACAAATTGGAGGGCGGTTACTAACATGTAAGATAAACGGTGTGCACACTGTCGTAAGAAAATATGGTCCGTCAAGTCTAATAATCCAGATAAACCCGCCAGCCCATCAGTTACGGCAGTGATGGTTTCATATATGCACAGAGTTTAGTGGCAGTAAACAAAGCGGATTAATAAGTGGACAGACCTGTCGAGCTAGCACGAGGTGGGTACTGATAGTGATATTCTGGAAGAGAGTCGCTTATCCTTATGTTGATGGCAAATGACTAGCCATACTTTTCGCTTTATCCTATAGTGTAGGCCGCGTTGCTCGCGTTATGCGATTCGACTTTGCAATAATACAATGTTCAATGATGCAAGTGACTTGGTTGTGCTGTCATTTGTAGAACCCACAGTAACGAACATGATGCAGGAATCCACCGGTAATTGGCACTGATCAGAAAAAGCGCCAAAGTTCTTGTGAGCGAAGTTTGTTGTGAGATTTGGCCCTAAGGTGCGTCGTAAGAACACGCTAGTGCCAACGCGTATACGACAAGAAAACGTGCGTCGCGCATTGTTGCCGGTGGCTCGCTGACAAAAACAAAATTATAACAATGACACTGGAAGAGAGGTGAGAATGCGGTGAACACTAGGCATCTCTGTACTCACTATATTCAGTGCAATCGATAAGTAGACGTCAAATGCAAAAAATTGAATAAGGGTAATCGCCTACGTTTGGGGTTCGTGGGCAATCATGATACTCAGATAGCTCATTTCAAGAGATGGAGCAAGATGCATAAGGAGCAATATAAATGACCCACGAGCTCACATTGAAATCTGAAAGATATCAAATTAACGAGCTACAGGTGGGTAGTCAAATACCAATACAAGCGCCCACTGACAGGATACCACTTGCAATGCCGAGTAAGGAGTGAGTGACCGCAGAGCAGCAAAGGTATATACTAATCATTGAGACTTCAACCGTGTGGAACATCTGATAAACATGAGGATGAGAAGTATAAACGAAGTAAAACGAGTAAAATTGAATCCGCAGACGTACCGGTCGTAATCTCTGCGGCAGAAGAGCTGACCTTCATGAAAGAAACAGACATCTGTTAAGCAAGCGGAACATATGGAGCAGATGGCACACTTCTCGTGCCAGGTTTGGTCGAGAATTCGGCAGAGATAATGGTCCAAGATCTGCTTATGACACTTCGCACAAGAGGGAGGAGTACAAACAGTGTTAGTGGGGGAAGCAAGAGTGCTGGATTGACCTGGAAGCGGATGCTGTGACGGTAAACGTTCAGAACTTTTGAGATGAGACTGAGCTGCTGTCACAGTTGGGAGAAACGGGGGTTGCTTGAGCGCATGTTCATCTGGAGAAAAACGGGAGCTCACGTTGTCTCGTTCATGAGGATTGTGACGAGAATACAGGTGGAGATATGAAGCGGAGTGGGGTCTGATCAGGTCGGGAATGTAGGGGTTTACATCTAACAAAGGAAAAAAGATGACATTTAAGGAATGAAGAATCGTAAAATAGGACCATCAAGAAAATTGGGACTGGTGAATCGGGTAGATGGGTGAGCGTAAATAAGACCGATCGTGACCGTCTAAAAGCTACACGGTCTTCTGGGGAAAAGCAAACAGCATAACGACTCTGTCGCACATCAAACTGAAAATGTATGGAGAGGCAGTTAAAGAACATCAGAAATGCTAACTGAATAACGTTAAACGCATCAAGAAAGATTGATGGCAAGCGAGTGGTTGGAGTTCACCGGTTAAACATCTATAAGGAGCATTTCCAATGAACAGACCATTGTAACAGGTCTCAGAGAATAAAGATCACAAACGGAACATTTCCGGAAGACCGTGCCCATTGGAACGCAGGTAGCAGAGTAATTTCGTTACAGATCTTAAATAGCAGATATCCCCATAATGCTCCTATTGTTCACTCGAGATGTGATGAACACTTCAGTGAGTACAAGCCGGGAGAGGGTAGTCAGCACTGCTAGTCAAGTGTCAAAGAGACCCTAACAGATTGGTGACCAGATGCTGCTAATCATGCTAGCGACTCCTCGTGACAAATAATGAGTGGGAGTTAGGTTAAGTCGTCGTGAAAGTCCAGAGTATATATCTAAACAAAAACGCATTGGGTCGAATGACCCATTGGTTAATTCCTGTCGTAATTAAGGAATGCATCGATCAATCTAAGTGGCTAGCTGGCTTGCCGAACTACCTCCTCGTGGTGCCAGCTGGGTGGTTCAGGCGTACCCCGTTTCAACGAAGTGTTCGGTGGCAGTGTTCCACCTCGGTAGGGCATTGTACTCCAGCAATTGTGCTGATTTCATGGGGAGGATTGGGCTTTAGCTTGGTAACCTACCAAACAAAATACGTATGAAATGAACATTCAGTCACCAACTTCCAATAGACGCAATTCCCTGAATTCGTACCGCAGCCTTGCGGGTAGGCGATTTAGCCAGAGAATTGGGGTAATGTTCCCTACTTCGGCTTCGGCAACCGGGTGGTAGTATCAAGCCCACCGACAAAAGCATGGATTGTTCGTCCGCTATATCGCGTTCAGCTGCCTTAACTTCTGCTACGTGCACACCTTATTCACACGCTACCCGTGAACTTGTTACTAATCCCTGTTATCCGTTACCAGCTGATTCCTGTTTCCATGATTCCACTCCCGATGGTTTCGTTGACACCAACAGAGTCCGTACAGCAGCTCTCCTCCAGCCTTGGTCCTTGTTCGTCTGGCAGATCGGGCAGCAGGCTTATCTTGTGTGCACCTTGGAATCCCTTGCAATCAATGTCTGTTGACTTTCCGAAACACGCTTGCAAGACTCCAGTACTGTGTTTGAGTTAAGATCACCCACCGACAACGGATATATGTTTCACCTAGATCCATCTGGTGAGACATAGGCAGCTGCGGTATGCTTGGCTGGCGTTGGTGTAGCACTGAGCACCCAAGCCGAAGCCGCACTGCTGGACTGGTTTCCGATTAATAGCTGACTGTATGAAGTTGGGCATCGGGGATCATGCAGAAACAACAGATGTCGAGAGGAGAGACGCAAATTGTTTGTGGTCTCGGCTTACGATCCCAATGACTGCAGTTCCAACTCGATGAAGGACGATTTCTACTGTGAACTTCACCAACTCTTGGGTAGAGCTTACAAACCCGATATCGTTGCTGGGGATCTCAACGCAGGCGTAACCATACAGTAGATGAGAGCCGCTCGGATAGTGGGGAGAGACTTCTAACACTGTGCGAAAATAAGCATCTATTTCTCTCGAGTACCAACTTTCGGCATCTGAAGAGACGTTCGGTTACTTGGCGAACATGGTCTCACATTGATCATATCGCAATCAGTTTCAGAATGAGTGGTAGTGTAAAAGACTGCAAATTAATCTGGTTTACATTACTTGACTCAGATCATGCCCTTGTCTGTGCGACCATCTGCTTGAGTTTCGCGGGGTTCTCAAAAATGGAAGCACTGTAACAGGGATACAAAGAAATCATCTACTCTCCCGGTTCAGCAGAGTTATCAAGCAGCCCTGGCCGATGCACTCAGCTGTGACCCTTCGCAAGACAGTGATGAACACTGGACGTTCATGCAGAGGGCCATGACCTCTTCCGGGCAGTTAGTATGTGGTCTCACTCAGCACCCTACGAAGGCATGAATCTCTACGTGCCCCATGGATCTATTTGATCGCCGCAGGAACATCCCAGCGGAGTCCAATCTTAGTGGAGTGCGCCGTTATGTCAGTTGACAGCTCAAACGAAGACTACGTAGTGATTGTGAAGCATGGTGGTCTAGCGCGCTTCGGAAATGGAAGCCGCTGCCTTGTCCGACAATACACGCAAGCTCATCCAGCTCATTCGATCCATTCACCACAAAAAGCTTGATGTTAGTGAGACTATTTGAAAAGCGGATGGTTTGCCGATTGTCAACCTACAGAGACGCTGGAAGCGATTGGCCGAACAGTTTCATTTTCAGTTTAATTGGTCCTCACTGTCCACTTTTATTCCCTGCGAACCTAGGCGCTTGCCATGAGTCATCACATTTCAAGCGCCCAGTGAAGCGGAAGTATGTTTTGCAATTCGACACCTGAGACGATTTAAGACTGCCGGTTCAGACGGACTTCCTCCAGTAGTTCAAGTATGGAGGTGCAGTTATCATCAGCCAGTTACCTTGGTGTTCTCCAAAATATGGATTGAAGAAAAAGTGCTTCCTTTCTGGGGCGAATCAATTGTTTTCCAAATTTTTAAGAAGGGTGCTCCCACTTCATGCACCAGTCACCGGGAGATTAGTCTCGTTTAGGTTGCTTCCAAGCTTTTGATACCCATTCTATTCCGTAGACATTCCCCTTTACGTGAATCGCAGTAGTGTGGAGAACAAGCTGGCTTCCGTCCTGGCCGTGGGTGCGCGGACCAAACAGTCACGCTCCGTCAAATCCTCGAACACCGCCACCTCTACCAAAGGCCTACTATCGTTGTATTCTTAGACATCCGTGCTGCATTTGATTCGGTTTATCGCTCTGCGCTGTGGCGATGCTTGCTAAGAAACGGGGTCCCAAAAACGTACACAGCCATCCTACGCGCACTCAACCTCCACATCTCCGGCAGAGTGAGGATCTACGGCAAGCCTTCATCGTCATTCGCCGTCAATAGCGGTGTACACCAAGGCTGCCATATGTTCTCTTTTCTTTTCAATTTTGCGACTGAAGATGTCCTGCAGAGAGCTTTGGAAGATTGTCAAAATTTTGGATTGCAACTACTTCCGTGCAAGCGAGTGATTGACTTAGATTATGCCGATGAGATCGCCTTACTTGGTGACGATTCACAGAACGAACAAACCGTTATAGACCGTTTGGCGATTGAAGCATCTAACTTCGGTCTGCTTCGACCAATGGAAGTTTAAGGTGCTGCTCCAGGATTGGCACTCGCCCGTTCCCGCGTTCAATCTTGAAGATACACAGCTTGAAAAATTGGATAGCATTGTCTATTTGCGCAGCTGCGTGTCTGCTGGTGGCTCTATTGAGAAGGAAGTTTCTCTCCGCATCGCCAAAGCTTGGTCAGCGTTCGTCAACGTGAAGCACATGTGGCATCGTCGGGATGTGTGTACAGTGCCACCGATCGGACGGTGTTGCTATATGTAAGTGAGCCGCGGCCAGTTCACGTGGATGACATGCGCCCGCTCTCGGCTTTTGGCAATGGGTGCTTGGGAAGGATTGCTCGTGTGTGGTGTCAGTAAGGTATTTTCAATGGTGAAGTCCGACGTCGTGTCTAGGGGATTGCATGTATGCCCCTCAATAAGCTGGTTTTGCCGCGTCAGCTAAGTTTTGCGTATGTCTGCTGAGCATTTGCTTTATTGCGCCCTTTTCGCTTGTGCAGGGCTCGGCTAAAAGAGACCGCGGGGTGGTCAGCCGTCCACTTAACGTCAGTGTATGAAACCGATGACTTCAAGTCTTGCTGCCGGTGGATCCACACGTCTGCTTAGTTGGGAAGGAGAGGAAGAGTGCCGATGGCTAGAAACAATGTAGGATATGGTGCGTAGTCGAAACCAGTGGAAGATTTGTTTAGATTCATGTGTCTAATACCTAACAATTGAAAACAACAGAAAAGGAAAAATGGCGTGTGAAAAATAACAAGAACAAGTATGTTCTTACGGCACAATAGCTGAAGTGTGTTGCTCACCTTCAGCTAATGTGCCATGATCATGAGGTGGTTAAATCTGTATTCTTCCTATAACTACCATGGTTTTTTGGCTCTATGTCTATTCGTTAGACTGTTGCCAATACATCTATGCTGCTGAATACACCGGAGTAGATATGCTATTATGAATGTCCTAATAGCTTCCTCTGTAGCACCAACATCACAGCGGCCCATCTCAATCCCCTAGAATGAAGTTTCAACTCGAGTAAACAACTCAGCGTAACTGCGTATTTCCGATGAAGTCACCGAGGATAATATGCGGGAATATGTGCATATTCATGAGTTGAGCTACAAATTAGCGTCCAATGCGATGCATCGCAGCAGAACCCATGGAGTTAGGTCGTCTTGGCAGTAATACTACAATAATTAGTAAGACGCGGACAGCAAAACGAAATGAACTGTGTAAGAAGGGATTGGGCACACATCGAGTGGAGAGTGCACTCTGAACTTCATGTGAATATAGCGTCGGCTGTGGTATACCCATGTAGAAGCAAAATGCTGTTACAACATTGGTAGACACCTTTCCCGCAGCTCATCGAAGATGCATAGCTCAAACACATAGGTAGTTGTGGCTACCTACGAAGCTGAACTTCTGCCGGCGGCATTATTGGAGAGAAGCTTAGTGATCGTACCGCTGCAACCCAGTTAACCTTTGCCAACCTGATACATTTGTTGCGTCGCTGTTACATCTCGTTCTCAGTAAGAGCAAAGATTGCAATGTATGTGTTCGCCCAATACTTTTGCATAAATGAGAATACTGACCGACCTCAG